GAAGGCCCTCTTTAGCCTCCTTAAGGAAATGTGATTACGTGAGATCAATGATATGAACACAGCTCAAATTTACCAATAAGACTAAATAAGTTTTAGATGTTTACAAAGTTGACGGCAAGTATTGAATATCTAAGAGATTTTAGGGGAAGTAGGGACATGCCACTTATCTAACTAACATAGATATGTGCCGGTACCCATGGGACTCGAAAAATATCCAACAATGATAATAATTCACTCAAGAATTTTGTATTAAACACATATTTGTTATCGTCTGGTTAGTCATCCTCTTGTTCGTTTACATGGTACACATAAGTAGCACGCTCGTCGCCGAGAATGATACACTTTTTTTACGTTAAACTAATGACGAATTTTATTATAATAGATGGAATGAATGTTTGCTCAAAGTTAATAATGAGTAATGGACGATATTTTTTCTATTTTATAACGTAATTCGTGACAATTGCCAATTTCGCGCCTTTTTAGAAGTTTCATTGTTAAACGTTGTTTCAACTATAATTGCAGTTTTCCCTTTTTGCAATCAACACTGGAATTTGATTAAAACGTAATGACTGTTTAATTATTTCCAATTTTATGGCATCTCTGCGTAATTTTTGCGCACAGGATTTATTAGAATTGATTAAATTCCAGTTGTATACATGCTAAAGTTCTGTCCTATCAGAAATACTATAGTAATAAAATTAGTAAAAAGACAATGATGTATGTACTTAGTTTTTCAGGAATGTAGATTTAACTTATGAAAACAAGCATTTGTTATTTGCTTAGAGTAATCAATTTTCATTTATTATTTCTCACGTTGAGTGATATTATTTATCTTATTGATCGATGTGAATGAATTTCCTCAATAAAACTTAAATAATATAAAATAATGTTCGTTTTAGGGAGTTTACATTCTATTACGGACACAATGTAATTATTGGGTTGCTCGGAAAGTTATTTCGTTTTTTTTTTGTGGAAATGAAAGACAGTTTTCGTATAATAAACAAATACTTTATTAAATTATATATTGACCGTTCTGGTCCAACACCTTTTGCCATCTTTCTGGTAGTAGCATAATTCCACGCTCATAAAATTTTTGGTCTTTACTGGCAAAAAACTGATCGAGGAGGTTTTTGACCTCCTCATTTGAGGTGAAGGTTTTACCGTCTAAAAAATTTTGGAGTGACCGGAACAAATAATAATCCGATGGTGCCAGGTCTGGAGAATATGGTGGGTGTAGCATTGTATCCCATTCAAGCTGTAAAAGCTTTTGACGAGTGACCTAACTTGTGTGAGGTCTCGCGTTGTCTTGGTGAAACACTACATCTTTCCTGTTGATTAGTTCTGACCTTTTCTGTTGAAGTGCATCATTCAGTTTGTCCAGCTGATGACAGTAGACTTCCGAATTAATCGTTGTGTTATCCGGTAAAAGCTCAAAAAAAAACGATTCCTTTAAAATCCCACCAAATAGACAGCATCACCTTTTTTTGGTGAATATCGGCTTTGGAAATGATTTGAGGCGGTTCATCTTTTTTGCTCCATGACCTCTTGCGTTTGACGTTGTTGTATACAACCCATTTTTCGTCCCCAGTGATGATGCGCTTCAAAAACGGATCATTTTCGTGACGTTTGAGAAGCGAATCGCAGACGTCAATGCGGCGACACAGATTTCTCTCTGTGAGAACATGGGGAACCTATACATCGAGCTTCGAGGATAATCCCAGGCCTTTCAAGTGGTCATAAACTGTTGAATTTGATAAATTTAACCTCAATCCGATCTCACGTGTTGTTATTCGCCGGTTCACATCAACTAATGCCTTTATCGCGTCTTTATCAGCTTCAACCGGCCTTCTCGAACGTGGTGCATCTTCGACATCAAAATTGCCGGATCGAAATTTAGCGAACCAGTTCTGGCACTGGCGTACTGTCAACACACCTTCTCCATACACATCAGTCAATTTCTTTCTGGCTTGAACAGCATTTTTACCCTTTCTGTAGTAAAACAGTAAGATATGTCGAAAATGCTGCTTATCGCTCTCCATATTTAAAAGGGCACCAACCAAAAACTACTGCGTAGAATTAATTGGAATTTTTCACACACAAGCCTTGCTATATGAGCTCTCAAAGCATATAAAAATTATACGGCTTAAATGTGAAGTTGGGTGCAAAAGAATACAATTAAATCCTCTGTCGGGAAAAAACGAAATGACTTTCCGAACAACCCAATATAACTATTGCAATAAACGAGGTAAACCCGGAATTGTCTCAAATTTTGTCGTAAAATTTGGATTTGTTAACATCATTTGACATGATAGATCTTTTATCTTGAACAGCTCAACTGCTATCAATCACAGTTGTAATCTAAGTTAATGTTGAAAGGTCATAATGATACGACTGTAAATCGCACTACTTTTATTTAAAAAAAATAATCTAATTTATTGCAAACTGTTACGTTAGGGCATGTGATCTTATTTGTGCTTTTTTAAAAATGATTCGTTAGCTAATATTACATGAAAGTAACATTTACATTTAAATCATTAAAAAGGACAGTAGCATCTGATTATTTTGTAAACAGCCTTGCGTCAAACAGGTAACTGACCGTCAGTGTTAACGTTTGCTTTTTATTTTATTTATTTAAAAGGTTAAACTGAACGGGGGTCACGCAATTGGCAATAAACCAATTCGTTAGTGAAATGATACCCATATTCATTGATATCACTAACAAGTAAGGCCTTTCCTTAAAGGATGTTTTGTGGCACTACCGTTGGTTTTTAATTCGTTTTTTGTCATAAAAACTAGTGAACATCCTGTACCTATACATACATCATCATAAAATGTAAATGGTCAATATATTACAATTCAAAATTGCTGATAAATCTAAAAGTGCACGATCGGAGTTTTTTAAATAACTACTATGTATGGTACATATAAAATTCGAAATTATTACATCATAACCATAAAAATTTAACATAAATTTTCGACCGTTTGCTCTTTAGGCCACACACTGAGGACAGTACGTTGTATGCAGTTTAAATTTCATTTGAAACACAATCTGAAGTGGCAGCCTCATTACAAATCCTGTTATATATAATTTAAAAACAGTAATTCTGGAAAGGTTATTAATACAATATACCTTGCAATTTTTTATTTCGAATATTTAAACTAACCAAAGGCCGGACCTGAATTAAACAACTGATTAAAAGTAACGACCATGCAATTAGCACCTAGCCACAAAAAGAAATTAAACTTTTGGGTGTTTCATTCTCACAAGCATCTAATGCTGGTAGGCGGGCAGTCCCTCCGGACAACGCCGGAAGGTAGGGCGGAAGGCTCTCTTCAACCTTCTTTCAGGAATCGTGGGAATGGGTGGGTGGTGGTTCGGGTGAGAATAATGAGACGGACGAAATGAAGACAGAAGAGAATGAAAGATTATCTGTGGAATATTACTGCTCCAGCATTTGCCTAAGTGATCCAAGGAAACCACGGAAAAACTTGGACCAAGGCAGACGGACCCGGAATCGAACCGGCGTCCTCCCAAATGCTAAGCAATGGTCTAAACTTCTAAACCATGCCACTCGGTACCTAACTACAAGTGGCCTAGTTGGCGATTGAGTTTTAAGGGTTACAATAAAGAAGCAAACAGAGTTCTTGGCGCCATTTAACGTTGGGAAGCCGAACAATCCTTGGCAGACAAGGTAATTCCTTTGTATCACGAGATAACTTTCAGTCCGAGTACGGAAAAAGGCAGTGGATGATACTAAATATTTGTCAAAAATCGACTATAAAAATGAGACCATTTAACAAGTCATTGGTCCCATTTTGATATTAATTATTATTATTTGTAACAGTAATAATTATTTGTATAGTCAAAACATGAGATTGATGTGTTGGTTGGTAATGGAGCAAAACAACTGTTAGCAGGCTGTGATAAAGAATGACAAACTCATACTTAAATTAAAAATAAAAGACATAAAAATGCGTTCTTTTGTCAATTTGTTGATCGAAATTGGTGTGGTAACTCAACTCAATTGTTTTTTATTACCTAGAACGTTAACGATCGTCACAAACGTCTTGGCTCGTGTTTAACGTAGCAAATGTTATCAAAACAGTCGACTCGTGAATACACCCTTTGATCTTTTTATGTAGTTAAAAAAGAAGGTACTTCGGCCATCGTTTACATACGCGACTCGCGCCAAAATAGATTTTAGACTTCGTAAATTTGAACAAGCAAAACAAATGGTTCCTCAAGCTAGCGGTTTACACAATTATATCGACTTGCCGAGTGAAGACAAGTGCACATTTGCTAATTTAAAACCGAACGTAATACTAACGGGATGTTTAGTGTAAGATCCTTTTTATCTTCATATTACTTCTGTTAATAACCGCTTGATGCTAATTAGACGATGAGCAGTCAGTTCTTAACAGTCCCTCAATAAGAAATCGAAAGGATATGGTGTGGTAAAAATCAAACATGAACAAATGCGATTTGAATTTTGATGCCCAATTGACATTGTGAAGTACTTATTCGTTCAGCATAATTAGCAAATGTGTACATTTGATTTCTTCATCAGTAAAGTGTAGAAGGCATTTAAATCACAATAAATCAAACATTTACTTCGAACAATACTTCTGTATATGCTACCGCAAAAGTCCCTAGTAGTGATAAATGATAGGATTTTGACGAAACATTCAAGATTAATCAAGATAGAATAAGAATTTGGAAGAGTAGATCTAAGATCTGTACAGATCTGCATTTTAAGAAAAAATTGCTTCCAAACAACAGTCTACATATGCTACAATTTTCAAGTGTTCTCATTGAATATCTTAGAAGAACTCTGGATCCATTACTCTAGATCTTCAGAGATTTGCCAATATCTTCGGTAGCAGTGGTAGCATTTTCTGTGTCAGAGTCATTGTTATTGACCTGCAGTGATTTAACCACCTTGTACTATCGAATACTGATGAGACTTGAATCGTAAATATTAATGTATTCAGTTAGATACCTGATGGTGAATGCCAAAAGGACGATGATGACGCCGACCAGAAGCATGGCAATTAGGACGCCCCCTATCATGTACAGACTCTCGTTCGGAGCATCTGAAACAACATGAAAAGAAAATCATTAAGTACGAATTACAGTTTATTTGACTTTTCGCTTTACAGTAATTGGCTTGATTAAACAGGTTCGTATATTTGCGAGAGTTTCAAAACGAAAGTTGAGTTTGCTTTTTTGTTTTGGTAATAAGATCCTGTTAGCGGCTTCTTTTATAAATTTCAATAATTATAACCTACATCAAGCAGTTGTAGATACTCCTCACTTATTTGCAATTTGAATATTTCATGCAATCACTATTTCACAATTCCTCTAAATTTGCGGACAAGGAAAACTGTCATAGTTTTTTCAGTAAATAACCAATTCTGTTAAATTTAGACAACAAACTTAAAGGAATTTCGATAATAGTCAGTGTGTTCGCACATGGACAACAAACTTCGGGATACGGGACCCTACAAATCATGAATAGCCTTCACGGTATATACAGAAGCCAGTGCGTGCCAGTTAGTTACACTTAAAATTATGTATTTGTTAATATGAGTATTTAAAAAAATTCATTGTATCATTCCCATGAGCTGACGCTAGTATGCAAGCTATCTCAACTCTCAACATATCCTTCATGCAAAATGGTGGGGTAAGGCGAAAAGCCTTCTTTATCCTTCCTTAGGAAATTGAGAATGGGTGAGTAATGGTAGTTAAAGAGAACAAGACGAAGCTGATAAGATAAAAATAGAATAGAAAAATGAAAGATAATCTGTAGAAGGAATACTTTGACCAAGAAGACTAGAGATAGGAAACGAATGAGATTAAAATGCGTCATCACTAATCAGGGATAGAAAATGTAACAGGGTCGCTGTGCGATGAGCCACCACCTATCAATTTTGCTATTGTCAGTTGCCAAACAGAAAATATTGATGAAGTCTCCTAGCCTATACGTCAAATCGTATACGCATTGCCTTGTTGAGCAGCGGACCATACAGAACCTCTATCCTCAAACTATTTCTATTCTTCTTGGTTTTGCTCTCAGAATGTACACGATCCGAGGACACCACAGAAAAACCTAAGACTAAGAGGGCATCTGCAATTGAACTGTTGTCCCCCATAATGGTAAGGTATCGTCGAATAACTACATATAGTCTAACTATGACATGTTCGATTTGTTATAGGTGTCTCTATGTTATTTAAGTTCCATTTTATAATGGGAAATTCTAAGGAATAACTTGTTATAACGAGCCGCATATAATATCAGAATGTTGCACTTTGGAGCAAGTCAATAAATAAATTTATGTCTAAACAAATCACATGGTGATGAGTCAAACCACAAGATTTTTTCTGCATTTCAGCTAAACTTCTGATTGTTCCTTGATGATAACGGCCTGATAAATTATAATAACCATATCAGCAGTGTACTTAGTTTGTTAGATAAAAGTCTTAAAAGCCATTTCACGCGGTTACTTTATATCCGTTAGTTAATTTTTCTATGGAAGTACATGTGATTATGAGAATCACGATTTCTGCCAGTGGTCGACTTAACATTATCTAATGTTCGAACAGCGACCGGCTGCATGTGTCTATGAGGTTTTTAATCCTGGTAAATTAAATGGAATTAATGTGAATTGCGCACTTATAATATACAACACAACGGCAAATTACAAAGTTAAATCATTTCCTTGAAAATGCCGCAACTGTCATTATAGCCGCATTATATGTCGCATTATGACAATTCGTGAATCCAGTTACTGCAATAATGCGGACAGGATAAACCAATCTGAATTTTATTTTTGCGTGAAATATGTATAAATTTTATGAGTTAATAATGCTCATAATCAATAAAAGTAATAGTTTAATACAAGTGTGTTCATACGTTAGGAAAACGACTCTTGTTAGTGGTCTTATTAACTCGTAAAATGGTTATTACAGATTAGGTTTGCAAATTAATTCAATTGAATAGGTAACAAAAAACCGTCAGTATGTAACATCATCATGCGCCCGGATTTTCCTGTGGCAATTACAGTTCCAATTACGTTTATTAGTTCGACGCTTTCTGCAAAAATCCAGTTCACCTGCGGTCTCCGTCGAGGTCAAATATCAAATGCCAATAAGCAAATATACGTGTGTACATACGCAGGCACAGTACACCAATTGAACATTCTGCTGAATACTCTGAAGGTACATGCACATGTCGGAATCAGACAAATATTGAACGAACTACTGGCGAAATTTAGCTCAGCAGAATCAATCAAGAGTTGCTCCATACAATTGCATATATATATTTATCATTTAGAAAAACTGAGAACAAAAACTAGACGAATAAAATAATTCGAAGTGGTCTGTATTCTGTCGAAACTGCCAGACGCGGATCGCGATTTCGATCTTTTTGGATCTCATCAGCGCGTCGCAGACAGCTCCGACAGAACACAGACCAACTTTCACCTGCTGTCTTAACAGTGCGTTTTAGAAAATAATACAAATAGCGCAGTAAACGCCATCTGTAGCACGATACCACATTTTAGGATTACTTATCATTTTATTCGATTAAGGTAACGTGCCTATTACGTTGAGGTTGGCTACGCCGGGATTCGTTTTCAGCAAGTAGATATCCACACAAGTGGACCTTGTTGGAGCGTACGTAATCCTAAAATGTGGTATCGTGCTACAGATGGCGTTTACTGCGCTATTTGTAGTATTTTCTAAAAACTAGACGGTCAACGAATTTCCTTCGTTCTGTTTCTTGACTCTGGATCGTCCTAGCCCATGTGTTGATCCACCATGAGTATTAACCTAACCAGATATATATATTTTCTAAATTTAAAACAATAAACTTCACATAACCGAAGACGCTTTGCTTAATGCAAAACTATGAGGCATTTTCATTTAAGAGATCACGTTTAATCATCAACTAGGTTAGATTTGTTTGTTTCATTTTGGCTTTTGGAAGAAGGCAGTTGTTGTAAATTGGATTTAAATTAATAAACGATTCAAAGGTTTACCAAGAAGGCCCGATTTTTATTCAGAATTCCGAACTCATCATGATAACAGGTGTTATTCATTCTTTCTTCAGTCATCACAATTTAATAAGATTCAAACGTTCATTATTCTGAAGAGCAGTGCCTAGTCGAATTTGTGAATCCCGGACTTTACAGATCGGTTACAAGTACAAAAAATAATGCTGGCGATTATAAATTAATGTGAAACAGACAATTACGTAATTCATGTGAAACTTCGCGGTTCAGAAACGGTAACAGTAGACCTTGACTTCTTTTCGTGAACTTTGCCGGGAATCGAGCTACTTGACCTCAGACGGAGTCGAGCTGATGACCTCGCAACCGACTGAGAACCCGACGACCGCCCGATGGACGTTCGAACATGGACAGTTCATAGTCATATTGTGATGGTTGACCACGTTCCACGGTTAATGTATTTTTTTGTATTACATTATACATGAGGATCAAGAGGCACCGATACATTATGGTTTATTTTGCGAATAATAATACTAGGTAGGTATCTACATGAATAATAGCTGTAAAAAATTACGAAGGCGAGTATCACGTAAAGTTCATGGCGATACAATCGTTTATGGTCTATTTGTGGTCAGTGAATCGCTTAAAGAAGCAACCCCTCCAATCTTTACCACATTGCTTGAAAAAGGTCAAAACCGGAAAAGTACAATCTTGTAACGCGGATATAATTCGTTTATATCATTGGGGATCAGTAGACTTAGTAGTAGTCAGGTCATCTCCTAAAGGGACCGGTAAGGAGTTCGGTACATACTTGGAAAGGGGTTCAGTGCTTGACGCAGAGTTCGGTATTGGCAGAACAGTATCCTGTATGAAGGTCCATTACTTGAAAGTGTGAAGGGGCCTGATATTAAGGAATAGATATCCGGTGAAGAGGTTCGATACTTGGAAGAGTAAGGGTGTCCAGTAAAGGGGGTCTACTAAGGGACACTGTGATCTGGTATTGGGGTCCGGTAACGAGAAGAGGGACCTGATTGGGGGGTAAGGATTATGTCTGCATGGGTTATCTTAACTACTTAAGTAGCATTATTTACTTTTAATGCAGAAATGTTCCATAATTACTAAAAAACTACTACCGCAAAATAAATTCTATAATTCTCATCTCTCAGTTACATCAAAAAATCAGAAAAAGGAATTTTTATAGATTCATGATCTGACTATATGCCGTAACAATTTTTAAGGACAATGTCAAGATGTTATGCTTTTTACTTTTTCGCTATTTATATCAACAAGGAATTAAACTTTATTAATATCTGTTTGGTCACTCTTCCGGTGTTCTTGAAATTAAAAGAAGGTTGCAAATACGAGCAAATGTCTTTGACACTTTTAAATGTTGTTGACAAAATAAATATTTATTGTATAACTTATCATTTCTTTGTAAATATATTATGCTAACTGCAATTTGTTGGCCTTTAAAATAATTAAACAATCACACAAACCCAAGCAGTATGTCTTTCTTTTTTGTTGAATTGGCGACAAGGGCAAAACATCATTTAACATCGAGAATTAGTTGCTGCATCCGGTATCCAAGATTAAACAAAAATTGTCCAAAAATAACACTTTTTGGTCATTATTTCTATTAACCTGACGGCATATTAAAAACTGGCTATATTTATTATCACTTTTTTTATACGTGGTTTTATCTGTTCTTCATTTCCGTTTCCTACTTTGGCTTGAAAATGTCGAAAACAATGACCTGGATGACTAATTTTTTACAACTTCCAGGTATGTCAATTTAACTGAACTCATGGCCCATAAGCCACTTGAGCGACGAACATTCTAGTTCTCTTAGAAGAATTAATATTTAGACTGAATGTCATTTACAAGTAATATGTTGTGTGTGCATATATGAACATTATTAGATGATATTATTTATTCAAATTTTAAGACAAATTCATAAATATTCGAAGACCAAAGTACAGAATGCATGGAATATTTAAATTGCGTCATCAGCATGTGTTTGTAAACAGTTTTTAGGCGGATTCCAAATGGACTCTTACCATTCAAAAAAATTCTAGTTCTAGTAA